AACAATTTTTCCACCACCAACACCTGCATACTCACCACCCTTCCCTGCCTCCGTACTATCAGCACTTCAACCAACCGATCCAACAACATCAACAACAACCACATACTCTTCCATTTCATCAACATCTTCAACAACAACATTATCACCAACAGCAAATACAACAACAACATTATCCACAACAACAACAACAACAACAACAACATATTTCACAACAATTCCCTAGTTTCAACCCTCACAACAACATCTGGAACAACTACTCACACAACCTCTTCAAGCCGCACGCTTTCGGTGGCAATCAAATCATCACCGACCACAACAACATCACCAGCAACAGCACAAATATAAGCAACAACCACAACACGCCGCCTTCCAACTTTGACGCATGCAGTGCGGACAGCGGCAGAGGTGGCTCCTCGAAGCGCCCGCGAACTGCCTTCACCAGCGCACAGCTCATCGAACTGGAGAAGGAGTTCCACTACAACAAATACCTTACGCGGCCGAGAAGGGTTGAGATTGCTAACGCACTGCAACTCACAGAAAAACAGGTTTCATTCTTCATTTTCATTGTAGAAGTATTTTAAAATGAGGCATTATACATTGTGAGGCTCATGCAAGAGGCAACAGAATGAGCTAGGTTTCTTGAATTATAAGAAACTACTGCATCAATTTTTACACATATTATCAGTTCACCCACGTGATATTTGGTTTTCGGAAAGAAGAATAATACTATGGGACTTGGACTTTTTGATGAAAATGGCCATCGTCCGGATTAGTTAAATGCCACTAAATCAGATGTACCAGAAAGACTCAGACAAATGCTTGCGGAGTCAAGATCAGCTATTTAAATTTTTTAATTAGTTATACCTACGTGGCAGGGTCGCACAGCAAAAATTGCATTAAAAAATAGCTATAGGTATGTCGTGTATTCTTAATGGCACACTGGAAACGCAAGCAACTAAGAGTTGCGTTCCCGGCCTGCCTGCCTGCTGCGAGTATTTTGTCATTCGCACCAGCTACTCTGATCCACACACTACAAATCTGGAAGTTGGAAAGACTGCATTGTGCGCGCTTGTTTTGAAATGTTGTATTAACGCTATGTACCGCACGCACATGTCATGTAGGTCAAGTGATTTATCTAAATGGTTGCACTCGAAGTTTTTTATTTCAATAATTGTACGTACTAATCTTGGCTGGTGCATTAAAATTCAGTGGATTGAAAATTGTGTTCAGAACATCGCGGCCTTCCCGTGCAACGATGTGACGCGACACCAACCATGAAGCTGTTGGAGTCTTCATGTTTTTGGTGTTTAGTTGGTTATGGCGAGGGATAATTTTTTTAATTTGTTATCCGACACAAATTTACACTCCATGTAGCTTGACAGTGAGAAGCTAATATAGAAGCTTGCACGACGAATATCACATTCCTTAAATAACGAGCCAGCGGAACGGCAATTGAAGATGCACCTGGTTGGAGAGTCTGGCGATAAAATTTGTAATACAGATTGTAACAATAAGGAGCCTAAAATTTAAGCAAAGTTTTGTACAGCACTTGAAAATGTAGTGTGAATTATTACTAAGAATCCTCAACATAAATTGCTTTTTAATGCAAATTGATTCCAAAAAGCTTTAATTAGTTACGCAAAAGCAGTGTTTCGATAAATTACTTTCATACATAATTAATTTTTGAGTATTTCAAAAATGCTTAGTCTGCCTAGCAGATTGTTTTTAAAACGTTTCTGTTTTGCTTGCTTACTTTTGCATATTATTTTATATTAACGCTGCATACATACATCAGTGTGCAATGTGATTGGATGGCTGTGGATGACTGAATGTCCCTCATTGAAATGTGTTTTTAATTCGAATTCAATCAACAATTTTGCTGTCAACGAACGTCACGTGACACACGAATGCACGTCACGTGACATACAAATTTATGCGATGAAACTTGCTCCTGAAGGTCAAGATCTGGTTTCAAAATCGCCGCATGAAGGCAAAGAAGAACAGATCGGATGGAGGGAGGGAGGAGGAAAAGAACGACAACGAAGAGGATGAAGATGAAATTGCCGACTGCAGCAACAAAAATAACGACAGCACTTATGCTGTTTCGTCGTCGTCGTACCACGATGACGAGCAGAGGACTGCCGACAAGTCGGAGGTCGGTGGCACTCTTTCTTCTGAGTCCTGATTTGTTCATTTAAATGTTGTTAATGATGTTGAGTTATATATAAATCCTTTGTGTAAAAATTTAAAAATTTTCACTGTTGTAATAAAATACTGTCACACATTTTTTTAGCCAAGAACGTCAAGTAACAGTAACAACGTCAACAACAAGAACATCTCAAACAGCAACAACAAAATCATTAACAACAATGTAAATAACAATTACAACTACACCAATGTTAAAAACAGCAGCAACAGCAGCAGCAACAACATTTTGAACAACAACATCAATGTCAGAAGCAACAACGTTATGAACAACAACGACATTGTAAACAACATTGCTATGAACAACAACGACCTCATAGACAACAACACCATCATGAACAACAACAACATCAACGGCAACATGATAAACAACAACAACATCATGAACAACGGCAACAATATCATGAACATCAACAACATCATGAACAATAACTGCAACAACACCGTGAACAACAACTGCAACAACATTATAAACAACAAAAACAACATCATGAACATCAACAACAACAATAATATGAACAATATATGCAATTCGAACCTAGCAGGGATGCTAGAGACTGTCAAACCTGGCAGCAGGACGTTTAGATAACAGTGGCAATAAGAATGTTAAATGAAAAAATTCGCAGTATTGAAAAAATTGTGAATTGGAGCATAAAATTTTTTTTGCCTAATTTAAATTTTTTATTTTTTGAAAATATTATAACAACTCAATTTTTAGATGTTCACACAAAATATTTTTAAAAAATCTACAACACATGAGAACCTCAACCATAACACGATACATTAGATCTCTTTTAAATCGCCTCTCACCTCTCACACGCCTGACCAACCAAGCCAGCTAATTTTTTAAAGATTTTTCTTGATCAATTTTGTGGTGACTTTAATTTCTAAATAAATTTCTGTTGAGATAAATATAAACATCGTTTAGTTCGGCACGTTCCACAAGATCGGGAAGAGGATGGTGAAGGTGAGGACCGAAAACAGACTGTGATCGCTACGACGTTCATGATTTTTATGATGACGACCTGCAAACTTGATCATCGTCTTCCTTATATAACATCAGCATTTGAAAGGAATTAATTCGCTGTTTCATAATGCAATAAACAATAAAAGATATACACACACACATACAAACACACACATACTATATACGTGTATATATTTATGTGTATATATTTATGTGTATATATTTATGTGTATATATTTATGTGTGTATATATATATATATATACATACACACACACAATATATATATATACAATATAGTTTTAAATTACAACTCGCAAACAGAAAATGAGGGAGACGAAAGCAGCAATTAAGTTATAAATATTGTGACGTAAGCTGCCCTCTGATGTTCATTCCGTGTGGCCTGACAGCCTACCTCCACCACTTCACCACAACATACGCTTGTCCTTCAATATTTTACGCATCTATTTGTATCTACATGTTTTTCAGACACACACACCACACATATATATGTAAGTGTATACTTACTTTTAATCAGTTATTGAATTGAATAATTTCTTATAATTTTGTTTTGTGTATTTTTTAAATAATTTTATTGAAAATAAATAAACTAATAGATGCGTTGTTTTGGATTACTTAGGCGATCACATCAAAACATTGAGCGTTAAAGACGAAACGGTTCGTTTATTCCAACCGGACCCTTTCAAAACTTCCATCCACTCCATTACTTCCATCCAAGCTCTTCCATGTCAGATTCTGCTTCACCGGCAAAACAAAAAATAAGCCGCATGTGTGTGTGTTTAGATGTGTGTGTGTTGAGTGAAATGTATGCCTGTATGTTGTATATGTTGTACGTGTGGGTGTATGTAAATATGTGTGTGTGCAAATTTATGCTTGTGTGTATGAGTGTGTGCGTGTGTATGTGTGTGTATAAGTACATGCTACGTGTGCGTAGGTTGCCATTGGATGTTGGATGAAGCATTAAAAACTCTTCATTGGTTGTATTCATCACTAACTTGATTCTAATTGGTTCATTGTCGGTAATGTTTTGTGGGTAACAAAGTTGTGAAATGAGTCAATAAAAAATGATCGAAGCGATAATAAAGAGTTGTGATGAAGACAGGACAGGATGAAGCTGCTGTCTAATTTACGACGCATGAAAATTAATCAAACATATCGTTAAAATGTTGAAAACTTCTAAAATTGACTAAAATCAACAATAAATCAGTTTAAATAGACTGTAAAGGATTAAAAAGTTTCATTAAATTTTAAACAGGGCGACCAGTTTATAAAAGCACCTAAGTGGAGTTTGGTGTAAGATGAAAATCATAGATTTTTTTACAAGAGGGAGACCTTAGTTGTTGGACTTTATACATAGATGAGAGATAATTGTTTGAGGTCGTCATCGGGAGAGGCAGCCAGGATGAAGATGACGTTGTCGAATGTGCTGCCAACCAGGTACTTGTCGTCGCAACAGTACGTTATCCTGCGAGTGTTAAACCAAGTGAGGCTGACTTGCAATGTATAAAATCATAAAAGCACTCGGGCGCAATGCGAAGTTAACAGCACAATGAACGTTAAACGTGCCTAAATAATTCTTTTATCTACTTTTAATGAAAAATATGACAAGAAGTAATGTAAAGGAAAGTTGTTAATCTGCTCACAATCTGATCGGTGACAAGGAAGAGCGCATCGGATCAATGAAAGGCCTGACCTCCTTGACGAACATCAGGTCCCAAGAACTGTACAATCTGGGGGTCACGCACGAGTTACATACGCTGACTACGCGTGTTTTGCGAGAAAAATAACCCCACAAGTACAAATGAATAAGTAGAAATAAATATAAATATTTTAAACTACTTCAAATGACACGATTGTTTAATACAAAGAAAACGAATTTTTACAGAAATTTTAAATTTTTTTTACTCCAGTCAGCCAGATAAAACAGTGCATTTGCAGCTCAAAGCTGTAAATTATTCAATTTTTAGTCTAACAATCCATTGATCCAAGAATTCATTTATCCATTCGTTCGTACATCCATTCATTTATTATTTATCCATCCATTTATTTATATATCCGTCCATTTATTCATCCATCCTACCATCCATCCATCCATTCTTCCATCCATCCATCTACTCATCCATCCATCCAACAAACCTCAAAACTCCAGACATAGTGGCAGCCACCAACACGTTGACCGATCTACCCTCCTCTCTCGACGAAAAGGTCAAGCACGTGACCTTCTCACTGACCAATAGCTGTTGAGATACTTTCTTTCCGTTGATGGTATGCAGCATGATGAGGCTGCTGACGTCATCACTTCCACGTCGTCTGCTCGCTTCTTTGTCTGGTGGTGGCAATTTTTACATTTGTTTTTATGTCATATATTCTATGTTTGTGGTGTCTACATGTGGACCTGCGAATGTGAGCCTTCCACAGCGGCTGATGAATTAGTTAGTTAGTTAACTAATTAATTTAATTATTATTTACTGGTTTGTTAGTTCGTCGGTTCACTGACTTACTAATTATTAATTATGCTCGAGAAATATTTTTTTAAATTTTCGTGTTTTGACAAATTAAATTCGTCTACCTTTTACTTTATTTATTGGCGCAACTAATCATTTAAACGTATCAACCAGCTGATCAACATCGGCTGGTAAGGGAAAGAACAAACTGAACAAACTGAACAAACAGAGCAAACAAACAAACAGAGCAAACGAACAAACAGAGCAAATAAAACAAACAGAGCAGACCTGCTGGCAGGTAACTGACGGAGGCGAGGTCTGCCGTTGTCGTGCATATACAGATCATCTCGACTTGAGTCTTGTGGTCTCGAACTGAGCGTATGTAGGACAATCTGTTAAGGTGTTGTTAATGCACGGTGAACGTTTGCTGGTAGCTAGCTATTGGCTTAATGTTCATTACAGAATGGACTTTTTAGATTTCAACATTCGAAATTTTGAAAGTTGTAACAAAATTGATTAATCAATTTCTGCAAATTAAATAACTCTAAAATTAATATAAAATCATGGTCTAATAAAAATCATACTACATAAAGATCGCCGAACAACTCAATCAACAGTTCAGCCAATCAATCACTATGCCAGTCAACAATCCAATCAACGAATCCACGATGAACCTGTTGAGATCCCAGAAGATAATGTTTCCATCGGCCGAGGAGCTGTAGAGCATCCTGAAAGCTTCGCAGGCCTTCATGTCCGTGATGTAACTCGAGTGGCCAACCAGCGTCGTGAATTGGTGGTAGGGGTAGAGGGTTTGCTGTTTCTTCTCCTTCGAGACACTGAAGGCCTCTTGCTCTGGCATTTTGCAGGCATAGATCAACCCTAACTGGGTGCCAAAAAAGAACACTTGGTCGCTCACCACTGGATACGTGCATGTTATCTGATTGAAAGGTTAAAGAGTTGGTGCGTTACTTAGAAGAACACCACCACCCACTTGGCCACCGGACAGCTTTCAAAATAGAATTTTCGGAAAAAACTTAAAATTTCCATGCGATTTTTGCAGTAAATACTTTTACTTTCGAATAATATTTGACTGAACAAGATCGTGTAAAATGTTTCAACTTCTTCAAATTTGTTATTTTATAATGAAATTGTATTGGAAGTCAATTAATCCCAACAATGATATATATTAAAATGATGGAGTTGATTTATTTTTAAAAGTTTCTGAAACGTTTCTTGAAAATTTTATCTGATAATTTGTCAAATACAATTAAGTTTGAGAGGGCAGTTTGAATCCGCTAAAACCCCGCAAAGAATAAAAAAATAATTTGGTTAATTTTAATTTTTGGAGATGCATTGCAAATGGAGATTTTTTTTTCTAAAAAAAATCCTCATCAATAACATCATCATCATCATCACCATCATCATCATCGACAGCATCATTATAAATAGCATCATCGTCATCATCATAATTATCTTCCTCATTACCTTCATCATAAACGTCATCATAATCATCATCATCATCATCATTATAATCATCAGCTTCCTCATCGAAAGCATCATCACAATGGACACCACTGACCTGGGCATAATTGAACGGCCAGCTGATGGAGACTCTCTTGCCCGGTGGACAGTTCTTCACATTTAGGTATCCGTCACCGTCTCTCCATATCAACGCTGACCACTCAGCGCCTACATTGCCGCGTGATGATGATGATCGTTGTTATAAAAAACTAATGACGGTGATGGTGATAATGATTAATAATACAACGATGGTGATGATTATGAAGATGAAGAAGATGACGACGATGAGTTGTATGATGATTATGAAGGAAACAGTGATGGTCGATGATTTAATATTTCAGTATTTTTTGTAAAACTTGGTAACTATTTATTAACAAACCGATTAATTTCAAATCAGCCAACCAGCCAAACAGTCAGCCAGCCAACCTATCAGTCATGCAGTCAACCAGTCAATTAAAGAACCGACCAACCGTTATTCCTAAGAAGTAGGTCCATAGTGCCACTGACCACAAACAGCTTCATCCTGCCGGCACAGACCAGCCTATCAATCGGATGATTGTAATGTTTGATCCACACGACGTGCGGATGCACCTGCTCTGGGGAGCCCACGTAGTTACCCCATCTCAGACCCGACACTGTATCCAAGGGCGATATCTAACCAGGGTTGAGTCGCAAATAGATGTCTTAATTAGTTTTAACGTTTTTGAGATTTAACGCCAGAATTAAATTTATACATTATTTTGGGAGATATGAATGAGAGTATTTTTTTTATAAAGGTAGATAGAATCTCAAAAATGTGTATAACTTTATGACGTGTTTGGTTTCTGTAGAAGATAAAATTTAGAGAATGAAGTTGAAAAATTTAGCTGAAAATTTTATTTACGGTCATTACAATTAAACGTTAATAAATTTTAATAATGCTTTCAGCTAATGTATATTCAGAAAAAAATAGGTTCTGCAATTGAAGATAGTTAAAAAATATCGACCGTCTGACCAGCCAGATAACCAATTATCCAACCAGCCAACCAACCAACTAACCAATTAACCAACCAACCAATTAACCAACCAACCAACAAACCAACAAAAACCAACCAAACAACTAACAACCAACTCACCGTTCTGAAAGCAGCAGTGTTGAAAACGTTGGAAACAGACTTGATGTTGGGCAGTGGATGAGCTTGGTGGAAGAGTTGCTTGGGCACCTGACCGCAGGACCTCACTTGAGAGATGACCGCTCTTAACCTTGTCTCATCATCAGGATCTATCGAAGATAATGTACTGAAGTAGGCCTGTATGGATGGATTGGTAGATGGATAAATAGGTGGGTGGATTGATGGATGGATAGATAGATGGGCGGATGGATAATTTAATTGATTGATGAATAAATAGATGTGCACATGGAAATATTTTAGATACATGCGGACATAATGAACCTTTGATACAACAATGAACATTGTATCGCGCGTAATTGTAACGAATGTCAAGGCATTACGAATGATGCATCAAAACTTTCAATTTGTTGATAGTATTAAACGTGTAGGTTAACTAGCATCTCGCCAAAATTATTGTCACCAAAATCCTTGTACAACACGCTCACATGCTACTTGCTCAAAAGTATGCACACATATACAGTACACACGCACAAATACACACACACACTCACACAAACACACAAACAAACATTCACATACATACAGACATTCACAAATCACAAACTAACATTCGGATGATAAACATTGAAAGCTTCTTTAGCAGCCTCGCCAGCTTGTTTGTAACCAAACACTAGGTCGATCCAAGCGGCCAAGTTGTTGACGACCATCTGACTTTCGAGGGCCTGTCGGTGAACCAGCACAAACAAGCGAGGGTCGCCCTTAGCCCACGGTGGCAAGATGACGTCATCAACTTCGTGACCGTTGTGCGTCCTTCCAAGATTGAAACCTGGGTTGTCAGGAGTGATTGATGGTGATGAAATCACGATGATAACAGGAATATGAGTAATGATATTAATGTGATAGTGATGATAAACAGCATCAAAAGCATTTAACGTTACTAATCATCACCTTCAGAATTAACCAGGAACTCTGGCAAGTAGAAGAATTCCGGTAGAAGTTCCTTGGCGTCGTTGTTGATGCCAGTCGTCACAAACCTGTACATTTCCTTGATGCTGTTGAAGACTCGGTCAGGACAATCAAACTTTCCTCCTGATTGGTTGGTTGGTTGATTGATTGATTGGTTGATTGATTGGTTATTAGTTGACTGATTAGTTGGTTGGTTATTGGTTGATTGATTGATTGGTTGGTTTTTAGTTGACTGATTAGTTGGTAGAATGTATGACTAATTTGATGGGTGGCCAACCGAATGAATGTTTATTTGTGAAATGTTTGATAATTTGATCGGTCAAAGAGCTGGTCAGTTGTTGATCGGTTGGTAGGTTTGTTAAAAAAACTAGCAAGCGGTAAAATAAAATAAAGTAAAGTAGTAGAATAAAGAGCATATGACCTGACCTTGAAACTGAACGAAGAGTTGTGTGAATGGGGGCAGACGAAGGTTGTACTGATACACGACGGCTGCGTTCGACACAAAGTTGTGGCTGTGGTAGGGTCGGTGGCAAACATTCGACAAACTATCGGTGGTGGTTATGAGGCTCTCCAGAGCCTGTGTTCAAACAAACATAAAGGAAGTGCGTGTGAAAATATTTCCCATAAAAACCACAGGTGCAAATTTTTTGCTGTAGTTCAGAATAATTTTGTAACATCAAAAAAATAATCTCAACCAAAAATAGTGAATAGATTTATCATCTCACCATTGTCATATTCATAATTTTTGTCAATATTGTTGTTATGTTATTTTAGCTACAATCATCGTCTTAGTCATTGTCGTCATCACTATGTAATCGCTGTCCTATTTTCCATCATAGACGTTGTTATCAAGGTCATGATCATTACTATCATCATTGTCATCATCACCCTCAACATCATCACCATCATCATCATCACAACTCACATTGTACATGGCAGTTCTCTTTTCTTCCTGTGTTGGAGTTTGTGCGCAAATGTTTTTG